TATATAGGTAAATAATATAAAGTTCTTTCCTTATTATATACTATTATAAAGCTAAGGTAAAGGTTAAAGCTAACTTATACCCTTAGACTTTTAGGCCTTAAGGATAGTATTTTTCTTAAAACTTCCTTCTTAGCTTTCCTTATTATATATATCTAACAGCTATATATTATAGGGCCTTAAAGCTTAGTACCTAAGTAGGCTTTTAATAGCTTCTCTAGTAATCTTAAACTAAGATACTTAAGGCAGCGATACTATAGGTTACCTACCCCTTTAGTTAGCAGCTTAGGCGCTTATATAACTATAAATACTTACTTATTATACTATAGGAGTATTCCTATTATAAATTAACCTTCGAAGTTAGTTAGTTTATATAAGAATATACCCTTATATTCCTATTTTACTGTTATAAAGAAATAATAGGCATAGGGAGGCTTTATAGAATAAGCTAGTAAAAAGAGGCTCTATAATACAGTCTAAGGGAATAACCCTTAAAAGACAAAGACCTCTACTAGATATCTATACCTTCCTCTAGGAAAAGCGGGTCAGGATAAGCCTATCCTTACATATAAAAATATGCATAAAATGCATAAGTCAATTATGAGCAGAACGGATACCCTATTGCCTATTTTGGCCTAGCGGTTCCGAAGATATCCGCGATACGAGAATAGGTAGGGCATAGAACATTCTAGTTAAATCCACTACTCATGCCAGAACCCATAGTCTTACGTCAACCATCACGCCACAATCAGACCACCTACTAAGTTAGGAAGATATACTATAGATAGAGCTTTTCAAGCACTATAGAATGTGCTAGAAAGCTGACTAATTAGTCTACTAGTGGGCGAGCAATGGTCTATAAAAGACGAAGGATTTCCCTGGGAGTAGTAGATAGAATAAGCAAGTTCGCAAGCATCTTTTGCAACGCTATTCTTTTAATATATTATTCAGCCCCTTATATGCTCGTTATAAATTCCGGACGAAATCCTACCCTATACTCCTTCGACCGATCTTTCCGCTTACGTTATCGATTACCCGATTCTACGCTTATTGCTTATACCTTCTTATAGTTTAATATAAACCTTCTTTATAGGTTCTAAATAAAGGTATCCTAGGAGCTAGTTTTAGAATATCCCTACTATTATCCCTAGCCTAGCTAAGAAAATACTTATTAGTATTTCTAAGATAAAGTAAGTATTTAGTAGAGTTATCTTTCTACTATTAATTATAGGGATAACTACTATTCCTATTCCTTATATCCTAAAGGCTTAGTTTCTAACTTAGACTTTATTAGTAGAACCCTACTTAAAGGTTCTATCCTAAAACTAACCTAGGTTAATAAAGAGGTTAATATTAGCCCCTAAGTTATATATTAATTTATTAGTAAGTAATAGCGTTCCCTTAATAGCTATATTTACCTTAGATAGAGTAACTATATTAATAGTCTTTCCTATCTTATTATTACTAATAATAGTATCTATTAGTTTTCTTTCTTTAAGGTAAGAATTAAGGGTCTAGGCTAGGTATTTTACTTTCTTATTTAAATAGTCCTTTAGCTATTTTTCGATATTTTATTTAGCTAGATTACTATATTTCTAGCCTATTAAGGGCTTCTTATTATATATTACCTATAGTAAGTAATAAATTTCCTACTAGCTTATTAAGCTATTAATATACTACTTATAGCTAGTATATTTAGCTTAGGTATTTACTCTCTTAGAGATTTAATTAGCGCTTCCTTTTTTTAAAGGTAGTTATAACTTTTTCTTATAAGTATATTTTTATTTAAAGTTAGCGATAAAGTTCCTTAAGGGAAGTTAATCTTTACTATATCTTTTATTATAAAGGTTAAGAGCCCTTATTATTATAGACTAATATAGGTCCTACTCGTCTACTACTATAAGAAAATCTTATTTAATTCTTATATTATTAAGTATATCGACTTTAAGGTCTCGTAAATCTATAATAATTTAGTCGAGCTATTCTACCTATACTTTCTAGTCGTATATACCTTTTTTATTAATAAAGGTTATATATCTCTTATAAATTAGCTTTTTCTCCTTTGCCCCTAAGGGTAAGGCTTACTTCTTTAATTCCCTAATTTTCTCTCTTAGGCTATTATATATTAAGGTTATCCCTTAAAGCCCTTTCCTAATCGTTTTCTTAATTAATTCTTTAAGTATAATTAGGGCTTTCTACTAGACCTTATAGCGATCGAATTATAGCTAAAACTTTTCTTAAGGTTATAAAAAGAGTTCTTTATATCCTAGTATTATTTATTATAGCTTATTTACCTTATAAGGAATATAGCCTTAGTTTTATCTTTTTATTAAGAAGGTCTCCCTTTAAGGTTAATAATAAATTGCTCTTAGTCTAGCTATTAAGGCTATATAAGCTCCTTTATACCGTCTAGGTTAGTATATTCCTAAATCTTATATATCTAGGCCTATAATTTGATCCCCTTAATTTATAGGGTCTAATTAAGGCTTTCTTTTAGTCTTATAATATAATTATCTCCTCTTACTTCCTTTAACGTTATCTTAGAAAAATTAAGGGTTCTAGCTTAATAAGTAATACCCTTCTTTAAGGGATATATAATTTATATTTCTAGTAGTGCCCCTTAGTATAGCTAGGTTCCTTGCCTTAATACTACGATTTAAGCGTTATAACCACGTTAATAGCTCGTAAATAGCTTTAAAGGTAATATCGGCGAGCAAAAGATAATCTAGCTATATAGGCCGGGCTTATAACTCTTAAGTAGGGGCTTAAAAGCATAGTAGAAGAAATAGGGGCATAGAAAGGTAAATTTAGTAATATATATCTTAGTCTATCTATTAGGATAAGGGAGGGGCTTATATAGGTATAGTAACTATATATAGCTAGCTAAAAGAGGGCATTAAGATATTCCTATACCTAAGTTAGGCCTATATACTGTCCTTGGGCTAGGGGAGTCATATTAGTCAGGCAGGCTTCCTTGTGCATGACTATTAGGTCTATTGGGCATGACTGTGGCCTCTTATGCCTACTCTCCTCAACAACTATCTAGGCCAAGTTATAAATCGCATAAACAACTGCATACGCAGCCTTCGGCTTGCTGGAGACCTCCGGGACCGTCATGCCTTTGCGATAATATTACTAACAAATTGGAGGCTTCTATCTCGACAGAATGGCTTAGTAATTAATTTCTGGCGATTTTCTTCTTCCTTGCTTAGTTGCCCCAGTGCATTACTGCAGGGCACAGCCGCAAGGAAAAAGAAAGCCAGGCGGTATCAAGCCCCTGAGGAACTAGCATCTCGACGGCGCGCAGTAGCCAAATGCCCGCAACTAAACGAATATAGAACGCCTTAGCTTGCGTGACCCCGGTTCATTGTGTCGACAATCGAGTTCAGACGCCCGGCCACTCCGAAATAGACATAAGCTGGCTACGGAGCACCCAGTCGTTTCTGGCCTAAAATCTTGAAATGCCTCAGCTTGCGAATGTTCCTAGCCAAGAAATGAGGTTCTAGAATTCTTTCCCTAGCTATTCTGGTCAACTTGTATCAAGTTTGGTTCTCTTCCTTTGCGCAGGATTTTCACGACAGTGTCCCAGGGCGGCAAACCCCCTACCCCCCGGGGACCCGAAGAAGAAAGCAACAAAAGAAATAATGAGTTAATGGCCGTATCGCGTGATTCTTCAGCTGCCCCCGCGTGTCTGCCGACTCCCCTGTTCACCGTTTTCCTCAGCTCCCAGTCCAGCTCATCTGCCGTCTGTTCAGTTGATCAGGTGTGCCTACGGAGTCGTTCATGTACGTGCCCAAACGCATGCACTCGACGACCCGTAGCGAGAACCGAAACACTTCCAAGAAACGTCTCACAGCCAAGCAGATCGTCCGATTCGCCAACCTACAACAGCCAGAAAGCGAAGAGCTAGCTAACCCTAGGTGCAGCAGCGTTGCTCTGACCAGATGGCTCACGTATTCTGCAATTTCCCGCGCAAGCATGTACGATGGAGGCGCGGGAAGTTTCTTCTGGGCGCAGGAGCCTCGCTATCCTAGCTCCTTGGCCAGCCTCCAGAAGGGCCTGGTAAGCGGCATCGCATCGACGGCGCGACTTGGCAACGGAAGTGGCCTTAGCACCAAGCTAATTATCAGTATATTGGAGAGCTGGTTGCGTATTTGCTTTTACGCTGACTAGTGGCGAGATCGTGAATATAAAGATACAGGGATTCAGAAATAAGAGTGTTATAGTCTGACAACTATACTCATTAGTGCGAAGTAGCGTGCTTATATCGGCTCAGAGAACCCAGGGCTAGAACGCGGCGTTTCGCCACTTGGACTATGGCTCTATGCTTAACTCTGGAGCTTAATTTCTGTTCCGTCAAGTGCCGAACAAGAGCTCAGCTGGCAGCCGAGCCGCCATAGTCCCACTTTTCCAGGCCAGAGCATATCCAGTCTGACTACTCTGTAGCCCGTGGCTTTACTGCATGTCAGCATTGGCAGAGTATAGCTCATGTCCGGCGCGGTGCTGGTGTTGTTGACATGACGCTGTGCTGAACGACCCATGGCTGGACGCCGACTACTGGACATGGTCCTCTTCAGCCGCATGCTTTGTCCTTGGAGGTCCTTCTGTGTATGTATGTACATCGCACAGACCCGTCCTGATCGATTACTCCAGCTTCGAAGCCATGGCCTGCTTTAGCGGCGACTTACAGCTTAGTTGCCGCGGTGCACACTGCACCGCAGCCTTGTCTCGTAGCCGTGATTGCATCCGTCGCATCAGGAGACGTCCAAGGTCAGCTGGTTGAGGCCCTTGCGAGCCCAGCTGTATCCTCTGCTGTTCGTCGGACTTGGGACGAAGGACGAGGACGAAGAGTCCAGTTGCTCAAGTACAAATATCACCGCCTCCCCACGACAGGATCCTTCTTTCTCTCCATCACTCATCAGTTCATCTCATCTTCACTCATTCAAACATTTCTTATCATCCATATTCAAGACAAACCGGGACCTCTCTGCAAAGCTTTCAACATGAAGTTCTTCACCATCGCCACCCTGTTCGCGGCCGCGGCCCTCGCCGCCCCCAGCGCCGACACTGTCCAGTCCAATGACGTGGAGAAGCGCTCCGATGAATCCCTCTCCAAGAGAGGTGGCTACTACTATGGCCACTACTATGATGACGACTGGTATTGCGACTACTACGACGACGACTGCTGGGACTACTACTATGGACCTGGCCACCAGTATGGCTACGGAATTGGCGGCCTTCGTCCCTTCCGCGGTCGGAACAAGGGTTTCGGATACCGTAACGGTCTTGGTCATCGCCGCGGTCCCCATGGCCACCGTGGCGGTCCCCGTGGCGGTCCCCGTGGTCACCGTGACGGTCCCCGTGGCGGTCCCCATGGTCACCGTGACGGTCCCCGTGGCCACCATCACAACTAAAGGGCGAGGGCGGCTCATCTGCCCCGTTACAGCTTTTTTTTCGCCTAGATAATATCCGCAATCTCTAGATTTTCCTTTGTGGCCTGGGCCTCGGTCGCTCCAACATCGGATTTATATTAGCTGCCATGCAGGAATAAATTGCAGGGCATAACCTTTTTTCCATGTCCATTCATAAGAACAATCACGTGTGAGGTGAACATGATTTGAAGCCGGAAGCAATGCTATTCGCGCATGTAAGTCACTATTCGCACATCGCCGAATAGCCGGTCTTTGTGCGAACAGCATTTCTCTTTCTCATGAGGACTCCAACATGAAAGACACGTATAAGGTTATACTGATGCCGACACAGTTGAGTTGCTAGATGGCACTGTTCTCTATCGCTCGCTGTCTCCTGAGTGTGGCCGACATGGTCAGAGTGCCTGAGCTTTGAGTCTTAGGAGCATCAACATGGAATGAGATCGATTGTACCAATGACAGTACTTGCACGCCAACCTTCATGGGGACAATCTAGCTACGACCGCCTCCAATGGCGCGAAAAGACGTTGACGAGAAGAGAGAAACCAGCCAGGAAAGTCGGCTTGAGGGTAAGGAGAACCGACAGACGAACATGACCATCAGGACGAGTTTTCATAAAGGCCTTCCAAGAGCAGCTTGAGGCCGGGCTAGTGCTCGGATTCCAATAAGATGTAAAAGAAGAAATCAGCTCTATTCTTCCGACGTGTCGTACAGACTTAATCAGAACCGACCCGGGCTAAACAGGGGTAATATCCTTGACAGCTTTGTCCATTTCATCCCCAACGACGGGAATCGCCTCGAGACCTCCGCTCGCCTCTCCCCCCATGGATACAGTGTCCTGGAGTCGAAAATTAGCGGGCGCCTCTCGAGCTGGGGCAGCCAGGGCGCCGCCGAAGAGGCTGGCAACGAGAATAGCAGTGCCGAAGAACATGTTTGCGCTGCCGGTAGGGGGTTGATATTCAAAGATTTGAGGAATGAGGAAGAAGAGTTTGATGAGTTGCAGGAGCTCGCAAGGTGAGATTTTGGTAGTAGGCGGCGTTAATATGGGCGGCGAAAGTTGGCTCCGGAGACGGACTCATCAACTTAAATACTATTTACTTCTGCATTGAAGCTCGTGCAGACACCCCATCTTAGGCATCGTATCCTCCCAAAGCTCTAGGAGGTGCCCGAGAAGGATCCATAGCATGGCGTGGTAGAGGCGTGGAAGCGAATCATTCGGTGGTGAAACAGCGAGCAGAGGGCAATGATGAGCCGTCTTCGGGAAGCGAAGTGTGACCACGAATAGCATTTTGGCGGTGTCAACTGTGCTCGAAATAGTCCATTGGATTGCAAACTGCATCACCGCAGCCATGGGCGATACGTCAGTGGCTGCGGTCGACGAATCCCAACTTCTGCCGTCTGTATGCGAAGGAGTTGGCGTCTCAAGTCCTTTAGACGGGCGTTGGCTTCTTAAAGCAGGTCCTCGGCCTGCTCACTATACTCTTCGGCTTCGTCTGCCTTCAGCCAGAGCACCATCATCTGCATCGTTCGGAGCTGGTTGTTATATGGGCGATGAGGCCCTCTCGCTTTGTGAGGCGTTTCCGACCGATGGTGTGTGTTGTTGACACGGCAGTCCAATGAGAGTAGCTAGAGAGCACTATGCGTGTCATCATACGGAGATCATAAGAGCACGCGAAATGAGGCACAGCGCGTCTGCTCCGCAAGAATCTTATATCAACGGAGAGCTCTGCGTTTGCTCCTACGCGCCATGACAAGTCGCGCAAGAAACACAAAATGGCTGGCCGTCTAATTGCCCACCTGTCTTCCTGCGCATCCTCACATCTTTCCAGACACGAGCCAGTCCCTCGCCACCTCGACACCCTCGTTCCTCAGCGCCCACGCAATGGCGTCCACCACGTCGTCGACAATCACAGCCGGCCTGTGGCGAGGCTCCTTTTCGGCCGCCGTCTGCCTCCACACGCCCGTCCGCACGAGAATCGGCACCCACTCGGCGCCGTCGTCGGAGCGGAAGTCGTTGGCGCCCCGGATGTCGCTCTCCGGGTTGTCCCCAATCATGTACACCCTCCGCAGGGGTCGTTGCCTGCCCGTGTCCGTCCGCACGCCCACGTCAGTCGCGGCCTTTGCGTCCGAGTAGTAGTTGAGAAGCCTCTGGTGCGCGTAGTCGTAGGTAAACTTGGACGGCTTGCCCAGCGCATTGAACTGCAGCTCCGCGCCGCCCGTGACTGCGGACCACACTCCCTTCAACGCCTCCACGAAGGCGCCGGTGCCGAACCTGTTGACGGGGTACTCTGTCTTCCAGACCAGGTCGAGGTTCGAGATCCAGAGCTTCGGCTGCCCATCCTGCTGCCAGCCACTGTTTGGCAACGACCGGTCGCCATTCTTTTCCGAGACGGTGCCTAGGTATCCTTGGTGGGACAGCAGGAGATCGTGAATGACTTGGATGTCGAGCGACCAGTCTCTCGGGTCGTTCCATACGAGAATCTGGTCAATCTTGAGCGCGTCCGCGGCCATGTCCCGACTGTAGGCCTCGGCGATCCGGGACGCCGACTTCCCATCCGGGAGTGGCCGATGACGAGCATGAAGACTGTCCTTGAGCTGATCAAAGGGGTAGATCTTGTCGTTGTCATGGATGAGATCGGCCGGGGTCACGGCCCGCGAGAAGCCATACCTGCTCCCCGTTGGCCGCAATTCCGGCAAGAGTCAAGGCGAGGCGGGACTTGGGAGGGCGACTTACTCATTGGCGAGCTGTCGAGCCATCTCAGGCTGCGATCCGGTAATCAGAACAGTCTGCTCCTTGACGGCGTCTGGCCACCCACGCATGGGGGTGTGAGAAACAATGACCCTGTTGTGAATCACGTCCTCGTCCTGCGACATGAGCAGACGTTTCGTCAAGGAAGCCGCTTTGGCATCTTCATGGGCGCCTCCGCCGTTGGTCAGAAAGACGTAGCGGATGCCGAGAGACCGAATCTTCCGAAGCACCTCTCTGGCCCCGGGGATGCTCTGGTGGCCTCGGTACAAGACGCCATCGATGCTGCCGGGATGTCAGCAGCTGGATGACACTCTGCCCGGAGGAGCCTGCTTACTCGAAAGCAAACGCCACGTCCGCATAGACGTCGCCGCCATTGGCCCTCTGTTGGCGAGGCTGCAGCGGCTCGACCTTGGTCCTCTCGTTCAGTCTCTGTGAGCTACAAAACTGCCGCCTTCGCAGTTTGGGGCCCAGCGCAGTTCCGCTGGCCAATGTTGGCCCGCTTCGTAGTGTTGCCGAGCCGGGGCCAGAGGCAAGGCCGGCGAGACACCTCACGCACGCGCTCGAGGCACGCGCCATTTGCGCTTCCATGGCTGTCCTTGTCGGGAAGCAGGGGCAGCTGAAAATCGGTACTGGAGAGACTCTGCGGCCAGTCAATGCCTACTCCGAGTTTCCATCGTGTCGGTCAGACGGGTCCGCCTCCCGTAGCTTGGCTTAGATCAGCGAACCCCTGCGAGTGATAAAACGGGCCTTGGGCGTAACGACAATGCAACGATGCTGATGCAGGACAGCGTATCGGTTTGGTTTCAGCTATCTTCCTGTCGCATTTTCTTTTCTTCTTTATTCCGTTGTTGAATTGTACATTTAGGATTGAGAGCGTCGACGCCATCAAAGGGCCCATTTCTTGACACTACTTTACACGCCCACGAAGGCCTCCGACGTCATCGTCGATCCCTTGGGCAGACGAACCCCCATCCTGCTCATTCTCTCCGCCCCTTCCAATCCTTCATGTGTCCCAGGATCAGTTGCGCCGCCTGGTCAGGCGAGTGCTGCCGGCCCAGGGCCTCGACAAAGTCACCGTCGGGGTCCATGAGGTAGAAGTAGATGCTGTGGTCCACCAGGTAGTCCTGTCCCGGCTGCACATCCTTGGGCGTGCTAAAGTAGACTCTGTATTTCTTGCACAGGTCCTTGATCTGGTCATAGGTGCCCGTGAGCCCCACAAAGGAATGGTGGAACTCGGAGAGATAGCTCTTGAGAGATGGAGGGTCGTCACGCGCAGGGTCGCACGTCACAAAGATTGGAAGCAGAGGGCCAGGGGCCTTTTCTTCAACCAGATCGAGCACCCGAGCCATCTTGTCCAGTTCTTCCGGGCAAATGTCCGGGCATCGTGTGAAGCCAAAGTAAACCTGTCGCAGCAAAGGTACCAGTCAGTCAAGCGTCGAGGGAAAAGAGGCAGCTCCTCGGCGCAACAAGCTGGAGGACGTACGAGAGAGTATTTGCCCTTCATCATCTCGCTGGTAAATGGATTCCCGTTCTGGTCCACGAGCGCAAACTCGCCTCCGACCTTGGGCCTGCCGACGCCCTTGGACGCCTCTGCTATTCTCTTCCTCTGCATGCGAGCCTTTTCATACTCAAAGTACCACACCAGTGCCGAACAGGTGCCGACGAAGATGAGGATTGCTTTCCACGAGAAGGGCTAGGAGAGACTTGTCAGCGGCCTCACCCTCAATAGCATGCGCCGGAAAAAGGCCCATCATACACCTGTTCGATGCCGGCTCTTTGCCTCTTCGACCGTCTTGTACGTCCGCCTCTGCGCAATCGGTGGTCTCGTCCGAATCGGTGACCGGAGGAGTGTCGTCGACCGCAGCTGCATCGGCTGCAGCGCGCTGCTGGAAAAACAGCGTTGGCATTGGCGAGCAATATTCCTGCCGAGGAGGGCTCTTGATGCCGTGGCTAGATGGGACATGGCGATCTCTGAGGCTGGCGAGACGAGCTTCTGGAGGAGCAGCTTGAAGAGAAGAGCTCTGGATGGGCCGTTGCGCCACCGAGAATTTGCCGAGGCGGGTGCTATCGATAAGGAGCGGATAACGCTTAGTCACCTCGCTCAAGGGGCCATGTCGTCCCTCATCGTTGACCTCCGACGAGGGCATCCTTGCCAAAGCTAATTCATCCCGTTGACTCGTCTCGGGATACTCATCAAGGCGCGGATGCCGTGCGAGCATCTTCAGCTCACCATGTCCGGGGCAGACTGAGTGGCCAGAGTGCAAAACTTGACGGGGCAATAGCCGAATCGCCAAGCTCAGCTTCAATAGGCCATGGATCAAGCCCCGGCGCCCATTTTCTACGACCAGCCTCGCTTTGCACTCATTGACGAGGCCGCAGAGACGCGAAACGGCCCCGAATCACCTCGTCCTACTGTACAAGACGTCGCGCCTCCGCCGTTCAAGCCGTCATCGTCCCCCGCCCCCCTCCCTTCCACCGAAGCGCCAGATCCAGCACCGACGACGGCCGCCGCACATCCTCCAAAGAAAAAAGGTACGGCATCCGCGGTAAAGAAAGGGCCCAAGCGCACTAGGAATGGCGAATCGAACAGGAAACCCAAAAAGTCCAAATCGGGGCCGGGTGGGCGAGGGGGCGACGAGGCATCGGGCGACGACGAGTCGGACAATGGGCCCTACTGCCTCTGCCGCGGCCCCGACGACCACCGCTGGATGATCTGCTGCGAGAACTGCGAGGACTGGTTCCACGGCGAGTGCATCAACATCAACAAGGAGATTGGCGAGGCTCTGATTGAAAAATTTGTTTGCCCCTTGTGCACAAAGGGCAACCTCGTCACCATATACAAGAAGGCTTGCGCCCTGGGAGCATGCCGCAAGCCCGCCCGCCTCACGCACAATCAGCCGAGCGTCTTTTGCTCCAGCGAACACGCACAAACCTGGTGGGAGCGCATGGTGGCGAGACTGCCCAAGGCCCAGCCCAAAGCCGGGCTGAACCAACAGCATCTTTCTCAGGATGAGCTCATGGCCATCCTCAACAGCGACCTGGGGAGCGTTGGCGAGGATGGCACGTGGAAGGTCGCAAGGATACCCTTCTCCGGCGCCCTGCCCAAGGGAACCGGCGACGACGGAAAAGGTGAGTGAATGACGCCACGGCTGGCGGATGACGCGTGCGCTGACTTGGGGCAGATGATGCGCTCATTCGCATCTTGAGCGACGAGGAGAAGACGTTTCTCGACAATGCTTCGAAAGCCCGCTTCCAGTTGGCAGAGGAAACGGTCCTCTGCGACAAGATGCTCAGGCTTGTGGAGCTCGCGCAGGAGCACCGGCGAGCAGCCATCACGGGCGGTCGGTTCGGCGAGGATATTTGCGGATACGACTCGAGGCTGGACACGATATCCGCGCGAGACGCCTTTGCCGCGTACGCCGCGTCAGCCGAGGGCCAGGCCACCTTCAAGGAGTCGAAGCTCGGCGGTGATGCGCTCAGCCCAGACGAGGCCTTCAAGGGCATGTGTGAGCGCAAAAGGTGCAAAGTGCACAGCGGGTGGCATAAGATGCTACCCCTGGGGATCAAGTATCAGATACGCGAGATGGCGAACCAGGCCGCCGAGTGGGGGGAAGAGGAAAGCATCGTGCGGGAGGCGGCGAGCGAGCGGTGGAAGCGAAAGCAGGCGGAGAAGAATTGGGTGGAAGTTGTCGACGGGTGATGGCCATTCACGGCTTGTTCGAAGTGAAGGGATTTGGGCTTTCTGGCCGGCGTTAACGGGACGAAGGCGGCTTGGGGTGGCTTCCGGAACCCGAGACTTGTCCAGGCACACAGCTCTGCCGGGTTCTGGAAGACGAGCTGGCGTGCAAGGGGATGGATGGCTTCAAGATACCCCCGTCTTTTCGACACAGTCCAGCCCACGGCATAGCTTGAAGACACTCTGCAATTATCAGAGGTGTTTCGTTCCAGCCACGAGGGAAAAAGGAAGCTTTCTTTGCAGAGACGTAGGATATCTTGTCCGTCGTCCGGCGCATGCAGGACAATCTCTGTGGCAAAAGCGGCGCTGGTGGACCTCGAGAGAAGGCCTGATTATAAACTATCACCGCTAATAAAGAAGACCCTGCTTATCAAGCAGCGCCCGCCCGCCGTGACGTATGGAGGGGTTCGAAGCAGGAAAAAAAAAGCTGCAGCGGGGGGTTTTCAATCACGGCAATAGCTAAAGCCATACAAGAACATAGCATCTCTCTCTCCTCGCGGCTCGTCAACCACGCAAAGCCCGCAAAGGCCTGCAACGACCGAAAGCAACAAGAGACACAACAGCGAATCGGCCATGTCGTCGGCCAAGGACAGGGTCCCGCGGCCCGGGGAACACGAGGAGGAGGACATGGACGAGATGCTGGCCGCCGACGACGCGGCCGAGGAGGTTGCCGAGGCAAACGACGACGGCGACGTGGCCATGGACTCGGACAACGAGGAAGAGGTGGTGCTGCAAAACGACTCGATTGCCTACTTTGACCTGCCGCCCGACTCGCTCTTCGCCATCGCCCAGCACCCGCTCCACCTGGCCCTCGTCGCCGTCGGCGGCTCAGCCGGCCCCGAAGACAACGCCCCCGGCGCTGGCTGGCTGCTCGACACGGCCGCCGCCCCGTCCCGCCCCGTGCTGCCCGCGAGCTACGCCAGCGATCCGGCGGCGGCGGCAGCGCCCCGCGCCACCATGACCCAGCTCGCGAGCCTCTTCGCCCTCGACGGCCACTCCGACTCCATCAACGCCCTGTGCTGGACCCTGCCGCGCGGCGACGTGCTCGTCAGCGGCGGCCTCGACGGCAGGGTGCGCGCCTGGAAGGTCGACGTACGGGCTGACGGCGCCGGTGGCGATGGCGCCCAGGGCGTCGCCGTCGCGCTGCTGGGCGAGGCGCGCGAGGTCGAGGAGGTCAATTGGCTGGCCGCCTGCCCGTCGCCCGCCCATCCCGACGCCATCGCCCTCGGCGCCTCGGACGGCTCCGTCTGGGTCTACGCCGTCGACCCCTCGGACCCCGCCGCCCCTCTGCAGATTGTCCAGTCCTATTTCCTGCACACGGGTTCCTGCACCGCCGGCGCCTGGACCCCCGACGGCCAGCTACTGGCCACGGTCGCCGACGACAGCAGCCTGTACGTCTGGGACGTGTGGGGCCTTGCCGCGGGCCAGGGCCTCGTCGGCGATAACGGCATGACGGCCGTGTCGTTGACGGCCAGCGACCAGCGCTTCGAGGTCGAGGGCGGCCTGTACTCGGTCGCCATCGACCCCAAGGGCGCCTTTGTCGCCGCGGGCGGCGCGGGCGGCGCCATCAAGATCGTCTCCCTCCCGCGCCTCGCCTCGCCCGGCAGCACCACGTCGCAATCCCGCCCGCAAGCAGCGCGCGGCGCCAAGGGCTCGGCCGCCGACCCCTCGACCGGGGGGCAGATCCTCGCCTCGCTGCACACGCAAGGCGAGAGCGTCGAGACCCTCGCCGTCGCCGTCACGTCCACGTCGCCGCCCACCACCCTCGTGGCCGCCGGCTCCGTCGACGGCTCCATTGCCGTCTACGACGCCAACCGCCGCTTCGCCGTGCGCCGCCACATTGTCGGGGCTCACGAAGACCACTCCGTCGTCTGCCTCGACTTCGTCCCGGGCTCGTGGCTCCTGACCAGCTGCGGCATGGACGGCGTCGTGCGCCGCTGGGATCTGCGCGCCGGCGGTGCGACGGGCTCGAGTGCCGCTGCTGACGCAGGGCTGCTGAAGGAGTGGAGGGGCCACCGTGGCGACGGCGAGGGGGGCGGCGTCCTGGGCTTTGTCCAGGGTCAGACTGGAGAGAGGGTGGTGACGGCGGGTGATGATGGGTTGGCCTTGGTGTTTGAGGCCTGAAGACTGGCTGGGGAGGGTGATGGAGTGGTTTCTTCCCCGCAGTGGATTGAATTGGCGTCACGGTTTGTCCTATTTGACGATGACGACGATGACAATGGCATGTGGCAGAATATCAACTCCCTTTCTTGGTTGCAACGATGAGGCGGCGCACATAAAAGGAATGACGAGTCTATCCCGGAGCAGTGGGCTTCAACAGACTTGCAAAAGAAGCAAGGAAACAGAATCTGCAAATTCCTACATCAAGACTGGGACGTCATAGCCTCGTGTCTCGTAACCATCCCACTTGTGTTCCCCACATCCAAGTGAGCTTCTGAAGTCTAACTCTTTGTTTCTTTTCGCTTCACCTCTTCCCGCGCCACTGACTCCACGCCGCCCAGAGCCGCTCGTATGCCAAAAGACGCCGTACATGTTGAATGCGTGCCCGAGCGTACACGTGTATGTATATATCCTCTTTGCCTGCTTGCCCGCGACCGCTCCACATAATGATAACTGTGCCTTCAGAAAAGAAGGAAAAGGTAAAATGCCACCGCCTCCGCCTTTCCAAAGAGACAAAAACAAAGGCAAGACTCCAATTGCGTGATACATGGCCAGATCGAAATTGCTGCAAACACAAAACAGCACGAGGGACGGGTTGAGTCGCCCCCGTCCGTCCTCGAGGTCTATGGCCCTGGACAGAGGTTAAACTCTGCGGGTTTCCATCTCTGGTTCACACACGTACGTGTGTGGCGAGACAATAAAGTACAATGAGATCAGAGACTGCTGAACAGAAGCGCTGTTTGCCCTCCACTTGGAGGGCTTGGAGGGCGTCTCGCTCAGCAGCGCTTATAAGCCAGTCGTATCTTCTACAGGAGGGCATGTGCAAAAAAGGTTGGTGTCGCCGTACGCTGCAATAGTCAACGTTAGCCATGGGCTCCTTCGAGGGAGGTTCAGAGACGAGGCGGCCACGTACTGTCATCAACACGCGTGACCGTGGGCCAAAACTTCTTCTCCCGCAGGTACGGCAGTGGGTACGCGGCCTGCTCTCGCGTGTAGGGGCGGTCCCATTTGCCCTCGCCGTCACCCATGATCAAGTCGGCCTGAGTGTGAGGCGCGTTCTTGAGGACGTTGCCCTCGCGAGGCTGCTTGCCCTCCTCGACGTCGCGGATCTCCTGGCGAATGCTGATCAGGGCGTCAACGTATCGGTCGAGCTCCGCCTTGCTCTCGCTCTCGGTGGGCTCAATCATCAACGTGTTGGGCACGGGCCAGCTCATCGTCGGGGCGTGAAAGCCGTAATCTTGCAGACGCTTGGCAATGTCGCCGGCCTCAATGCCGCTCGAGGCCTTGAACGGCCGAGCATCAAGGATGAATTCATGCGCGCACCGACCCTGGTCATTGGTGTACAGGATAGGGTAGTGGTCCTTGAGGCGGGCAAGAACGTAGTTGGCGTTCAGAAGAGCCACCTGGGTGGCCTTGCGAAGGCCCTCGTCGGCTGTGGATGATACGCAGTCAGCTACTCGAGCCCCAAGCCCTCACCCCGGGTACTGCATGGGGCGGAGAGGATGGCAAGACGCGAAAAGAGGACTTACCCATGGTCGCGATGTACGCCCAGCTGATGGGCAGAATGCTGGCGCTGCCAATGTGGGCGCTAGCGACGGGCATCTGGCCGAGCTTGTGGGGGAGGTATTCGGCGAGGAACTCCTTGACGCAGACGGGGCCAACGCCGGGGCCGCCACCGCCGTGAGGGATGCAGAAGGTTTTGTGCAGATTGAGGTGGCAGACATCCGCCCCGAGGGCCCCGGGAGACGTGAGGCCGATCTGGGCGTTCATGTTGGCTCCGTCCATGTAGACCAAACCGCCGTATTCGTGGACCATGGCGCAGACCTTGCGGATGTTGGGCTCGAAGACGCCAAACGTGCTGGGATAGGTAACCATGATGGCACCGAGCTGCTCGCGGTGTTCCTTGCATTTGGCTTCGAGATCTTCCAAGTCGAGGTTGCCCGTCTGCGAGTCGCATTTGATGGGCACGACGCGCATGCCGGCCATGCTGGCAGACGCCGGGTTGGTGCCGTGGGCGGAGACGGGGATCAAGCAAATGTCGCGCTTGACTCCCTGACGATCCCCGTGATCCTCGAAATACTGGCGAATGATGCGGAGCCCGGCGAACTCACCCTGGGCACCCGAGTTGGGCTGCAGCGAGGTTGAGTGCATGCCTGTCAAGGCCGAGAGCTGAGCACCGAGAGCGCTGACGAGGGTCAAGTATCCCTTGGACATTTCGCGAGGGCCGAGCGGGTGAGTATGGGACGCCCTGAGGCCGATGAGCTCCATCTGGGCCGTTCCGTTCAACTTCATGGTGCAAGAGCCCAAGGGTATCATGGAGTGGACTAGTGACAGATCCTTGGACTGGAGATGGTGCATATACCGTAGCAACTCGGTCTCGCTATGGTGCGAGTTGAAGACGGGGTGCGTCAGGTAGCTAGACTGTCGTCGGACAGCATCAGGCATCTCCCCGAGCACCTGTTTCGGTGACTGGGCCGTGTGCTCAATCCAGATTTTGCGGCTAACTTCGTTCGAGTCGTCCGAGAGGTTTTTGGTGGCGACTTCCTTAAAAGCCCAGACGATGCGCAGATACTGCTTTAGATGGAGGACCGAGGGTACGGCGAGAACAACGTTGGGACAATTTGCCCAGGTCCTTCCACTGCTGACCCCGATCGCCTCCAGCTGTTTGCGCAGAATAGTAACCGGCTTGTCCTCGGGGAAGCGGATGCTTATGGTATCGGAGAGGACACGCCCTTCAGGGTCGAGGGTGCGCGTCGTGACCCTTAGACCGTAGTGCTGGGCAGCGGCCTGCAACATGCGGGCGTATCTGATGCCGGTGAAGGCCATCTGCTTGAGCTGGGCCGGTCCATGGTAGATAGCGTACATGGCCGCCATGTTGGCCAGGAGAGCCTGCGCCGTGCACACGTTACTGGTCGCCTTCTCTCGCCGGATGTGCTGCTCTCGCGTCTGCAGGGCCAGACGGAGAGCGCGCCCACCGGTCCTATCCTTGGACACGCCGACGAGCCGGCCCGGCAAGCGCCGCTTGATGGACTCCTTGACCGACATGAAAGCGGCGTGCGGGCCACCGTAGCCCAGGGGAACACCAAATCGTTGAGAGTTGCCAAAGGCAATGTCGGCACCCCACTCGCCCGGGGGAGTCAGGACAGTCAAGGCGAGGAGGTCCGTGGCGACGCTAAACAAGGCGCCCTGCTCGTGGACGACTTTGGCAAGCTCCCGGAAGTCGTCGACGCCACCCTCGGTGTCCGGGTACTGCGCGAGAACACCGACCAAGTCATCGCCGAGGTCCTGAATCTTCTGATGGACGCCCGGTTCGGACAGGTCCATGAGCTGCACGGTGATGTCGAAGCCCGTGGCACGGCCGAGCATGACGTGGTAGGAACTCTCGTGGATACGGTCGGAGACGATATAGGTCTTTCCTGGACGCTTGGCCCGCGCGCTGGGGAGGTTGGCGAGTGACATGGTCATGGCCTCGGCAGCCGCCGTCCCCTCGTCGAGCAGGCTGGCGTTGGCAACTGGGAGGCCTGTGAGATCCGACACCATGGTCTGGAAGTTGAGCAGCGACTCAAGACGTCCCTGGCTGATTTCGGCCTGATAAGGCGTGTAGCTGGTGTACCAGCCGGGGTTCTCGAGCATGTTGCGCTTGATGACAGGCGGCGTGTCGACCGGGTAGTAGCCGCCGCCGTTCATCCACAACATTTGTCGGCTTGCCTTGTGGTATTTTTGGTATTCCCTGAAGATGTTGTACTCGTTAAACTTGCGGGGCTGGATCGGGACCTGAGGCGGCAGCATGACGTCCTCGGGGATGACCTGGCCGACAAAGGAGTCGAGGGTTTCGGCACCGGGGCCCAAGGCCTTGAGCATCTCGGCGATATCTTCTTGTCGTGGACCGATGTGGCGGTCGACAAAGTCCAACCACGGCGCCTCGTCCTTGTCACGGGCGTGCTCCATTTCGTTGAAGAGTTTAGGGTCGGCGTCCAAGCCGACGCCCGGGTGCAGACGAACACGATAGGGGGCTTTGACGTGTGTAGGCGGGGTCGTCTTGGTATAGCAGCGCGCGCCGCGGGGGACGAGAGGGCCGTGAGACATGAGGCCGGCTACCAGCACGGAGGCGCGGCGCGGCGCGGCGGCCCCGGCGAGGACCAGTCTGGACGACATTGCCGCGGCTCGAGCGCTGGTATTCGCAAGCGGCAGAGGGGCTGGAGTGAGTCAATGGGCGGCGGTATCAGGCCCGGGCTGCTCCAGCAGGCTGTTGAGCGTCGGTAGTTACCTGCAGCGATTGCAGATCTCTCCGGCCCCGGAGTGAGGCGACGTGCGTTCTGGAGAGGGGAGTCGGCGCCAAGTGAAAGATCCGCCTGCCAAAAAGGAGACCGAGAGAAGAAGAGGACAAGGAGAGAGGGAAGATGCTGATATCGCGGCTAGAAGAGGGCTTTTTTTTTTCGCACCACCGATAACGCTCTCTGCACCTCGGCTAGCGCTAAGTATGAGGTACATTGCCCGCGTTGAGTGGCCCGATCGTCGTCATGCAGCCGCGTATAGAGTACGCCACAGGTACATCGGCTGCACTCGGCCCGGTGCTGCCCGGCTCGACCCAAGTCCGCGCGCCCGAAATCGCCCTGTTTTTACGTAAAGCATCCAACTTGCGGTTACCAAACACGACGCAATTTTCGCATCAAAAACCACGAATCTCACCATGTTTGCAGGCTGTACGTCCCTTTACGCCATGCCATGACTTTTGCTGTAGAAGATGAAGGCTAACCTTATTCTTCTCTCGTTACCTCGCAGTCGCTCCCCCGCAACAGTCTCCCGAGGAGATTCGGGCCATGGAAGCTGAGGCGGCTTTCACCGTCCAGCAGGTGGCCGCGACCGCCTTCATGCTATATCTATGTAGGTCCTCGGTTGCGTCCTTCGTCTGCGACCCATACTGATTGCTGTCTGCTCTGTAGCGCCGTTTGCCATTGACATGGCCAGCAGGATCTTCTAGACCTGTCGTTGCACGATCGTAAACTTGAGACTGGCCCGGCCTTTGCCTGCCCCAGCATGACACGATGAAACGGGACGTCCCCATAGCGATGAACGGGGGTGAGAGTCAAGCTCTTGACAGCGGACTGGGAGCTTTTTTCCTACTAGAGTTGCATATAGAGAGAAGCTGTACCATATCGTTGACGGCTCCCGCGTCGGACGTTTAGTGACGCTTCCTGGCTCGGAGGGCTTCCCAACTCCACCTGCGACTATGAAAGCACGAAATAGACTCAAGTGTCAAAGATTTCGGTGATGCGACAGGCGGCGGCCTGGGAACATCGCCCAGGGCCCATGTGCGTTCTAGAATCCCGCAAGATGTTGCTTGCTACCATGAATAGACGGGTCCAGACATGGCAACATAGTTATAGCCACCGTTTCCCCTCTAGCTGGCCTCGTCAAATCGCATATACTCCAGTCCTCGCGAAGCTGTCAGACGCTCCCCTCTCGCGCTCATCGCTGCCCGCGACACTGCGTCATCTAGATTTGGGGTTTGCATTGTGGCTTTTCTCCCATTCCTCGAAATCGGCACCCAGTGCCTCCAGTTCCTTCTTCAGATGCTGAAGTTGCTTCTCGTAGTCTTCCATGACCTGCTCGCGTCGTTAGCGAATGTGCTAGCTGGTGGGTAGTATCCAATAAGGGGGATTGGCTTACCCTCTTGGCCTTGACTTCAGTCTCGGCGTCCAGTCCCTCACTCTCTGCACTGGCGGGCTGGTCCATCGCCTTGTTCAGCCGGTCAGAGTATCCCCGGAGCACAATCAGTCTGCTCCACAGCTCCTCCTCTCTGGCCCCCAGCGCTGGGTCCTGGACCTCCCGCTCCAGGCTCTGCAGTCTGTTCTTGAGATCGTCCTCGTCCCCGCTCAATGCATAGCCCCTGTTTCGCAGGACCTGCACACGCGCTGCCAGGGCCAGGCACCGCTCGCTGATTGCCGTCTGCCGTCTCCGCGCCGCCAAAGCGCGCACTTCAGTCTCGAGCTCGTGGCGTTGCAGAATTGCGTCCAGGCTGCCGTTGACCTGATGCAGCCGCGTGTTGAACTCGGAGACGGCTCGTTTCTGCGTTTTGAGGCGATCGGCGACGCCGGCGTAGCCCGAGCAGAGAACAGGCATGAAGCCTGGCGCGGGCTTTTTCTGGAGTGCCTCTTCCCACTCGCGGGGGTCTTCGTAGGGCTGGGGCTTGTAGAAGGGGATATGGGCTTCGTCGACTTTGTTGTAGAAGTAGTGCTTGAAGACGCAGCTGGGGTTGGCCGGGTCCCACTTCTCCATTACGAGTTTGATCTGGTCGAGAATCGGCTTCTGGTCTGCGTCGTCAAGTTAGCTGCCGGGGCCCCGATCAAAGGTGCGTGGGACTTGCGTGGCGTCTCCTTGCCGGGTTGCCAGAGGGAGCTGGACAGCTGGGCAGCCGACTGCGCGAGAATGGGCATCTGCGGGACCTGCTGAGGAGGCTGCATCGCAGAGGCGGCGAGCGCGCCGCCCTGCTGGCCGCCGCCCAGGGTTTGGCCAAAGGCATTGTTGGTCTGCTGGGTCGGTTGCGGCTGCTGGGCGGGCTGCGATTGGGAGAAGAATCCGCCAGAGCCGAGGCCCTTGGACTGACCAAAGAGCGACATCTTGCCCCAGTGACGACGCCCGTTGCGGCTCCGAGGTCGCGCTTAGCGAAGAGTTTGTTCGCGACGGGAGCTTCAGGTATGCTTCGACGGCGATGCGCACGAGAAGAATTCGACTTTGATGCTTCTTCAGATAGACATTTCGGGAGGTTCGCAGTCGCTCGTAGATCAGAGACAGAGGTCGGGTTCGTGGCGATGCAGGTTTTTTTCCCCTTTGTTTGTTGCTCGCAGCGCTGCTGGCAGCGGAGGGTCGCAGGGTCGAATCTCGAGGGCCGCCTTGTCGAGGTACCAGCCTCGCCCCACCAAGCACCTCGCCAGCCAATCCGAGCTCGCCAATTCCAACCTCAAGCCCAAATTCCGGCGCTTGAGAACGAGCAATTGCCCTTTACGCAGCTCACACCAAACACCGGGCAGCGGCAACGCGAGCATCATGGCAGCCCGACGTGCTCAGTAAGATTCCTCCTCTTGGGCGATGCGATCGCCGCGGTTTCTCAATCCAGCACCTCGGCGGCGAATCCATGGGCGTGGGCTGACGGCAGAGCAGGTTCCACCAGCAGCTCCTCATCGACACCACGCCGCTCCCCGACGATGTCCCCGCCGTCAAGGAGATTGGCGCCAGCTCGGCGCCGCTGCTGTCGGCCTCATTCTTCATCGGGGCGCGGTGTCGTGACTACAACGACGACTACATGCAGTGCAAGACGGAGAAGCCCGGCCGAGGAGAGTTTGAGTGCATGAAAGAGGGCCGACGGGTCACGCGCTGTGCCCAGAGTGTGTATGTCTCCCCTGCGCTGCTCCCTTTCCCTCGTCACGTGGATACGATTCAAGCGGGACAACTGGGCGAATCTACGATGCGTGTAGCTCGGTGCTGACAAGGGCGCGGCCGGAACAGCATCCAGGACATCAACACGCACTGCCTCGCCGAGTTCCGCAAGCACTGGGAATGTCTCGACGACCGCAACCATCAGCTCTGGCAGTGTCGCCCGGCTGAATGGAAGCTCAACAAATGCGTCTTTGACAACATAGTAAGCAAGCTGCTGTGCCTCTCCGACGCACCTCCCCACCCGAGCTGACTCCCCCTACAGAAGCTGGAGAAGAAGATTCCGGATCAGCCGCCCAACGTCGTCCCCGTCGAGCTACGGCCGAAACAGATCTTTGCCGACGTGCGCATCGGGCCGGGCGACGGGAAGCCGTTTGCCCCGGGTCAGCAGAACGAGGCGAAGCAGTGAGAAGCTGCAAGGATCCATGTTGGCGACACGGGTTGTACATTCTTTTCCAAGTTTCTTTGAGCTCAGAATGGAACAATTGGGCGTCAATATGCAGCTGTGCCACGTTTTCGCGGGACATGCAGGCCCGTGGCGCACCTGATCTGTGACTAGGCGAAGGGCAACGATGTACGACCAAGGTTGAGCGCTTTCTTGGGTTGGGATTTCATGTTGGGCCGTGGCGGTCGACAATGACAGCTGAGACAAATGTCTAGGCCCAGCTCTCCAGTTGCTACGCACGCGCTGCTAGCACCGCAATCGCAGAAGTGCCAACAGTCTGGCGTTTCCCGCAGTGCGCCCGTGTGTCGTCACGCGAGATAAGGCCACCTCTACGTACGTCTCGGACGCAGCGGTCCCCGACGGCCATGGATTCCGTCACACGCTCAAGCTGCCACTGTAAGCGAACTGCGCCTTGTCCGCAGAAAGGTCGGAAGACGGGTGGGCGGGTGCCGTTTTGTGGCTGCACCGGCCGCCGCCGCCTGAAAGGTTGGAGGTTGTCCGTTGGCCTGGCCCGTCCCCGCGCGCCCAAGACTTGTTCAGAGACAGCTCGGGCGACATTGAGTTTCAGATGGGTTGAGGGGAAGACGGGAGGGCCTGTTGCACGCGTCCTGCGGCGCCAACTTGACGCGTCTGCACGCACATCAAGTCGCCGCGGCATCCCCTGAGACTTTGGTTCATGTCGTCAGGCCGCAATGAGTGAGATGGGAGAGGATTGGGAGGCGCAATCGCCCCATTCATACCACGTTCGCCGCACAGCCATGATCGATCGACGGACGCGGAGGAGGCTCGGCTTGTATGGGCAGTGATGCGTCGACTGCCGTTGCCGCCTTGCACTGCATGGTGCAACAAGACGGCAGAGGGAGAAGGGAAGGCAAATCGCTGGTGAAGCCGACGGTCCGTCCTCATCTGGCCGAGGCCTGACACGACAGTCTGGGGGGCCGGTTCCACGACACCTTTTGTCGACTCGACCAGAGCACGAAACGAGCCACCTGGAACTCTCTCCCGTGCTACCAGCCCTTGACTACATACCTACTCGTACTTTGCTACCTGGTTTGCCCCTCTCCAATGAAAGCGTTGGTGTTCGGGTTTGCAGCGGCACCCGGCACGCGTCCGTACTTGGATGCACGACTAGGTTGTCCGATGGAGTATTCACGCCACGGCCTGCGCATGTGACACGACGCGAATTAGCTGCTGGGTGAGCTTTTCTCTCCCCTCTATTCGTCCCGTGCTGGCTTCGGCCACTTGGACTTGTCTGTGTCCGTGCCCGCTCGTAGAACTGGACGCCGTTTGCGTTTCTGTGCAAAACATGGGGAGACGGCGTGCGAGCCGTTGCAACGGCGGCCCGCGAGAGGGAGAAAGAATGGATGGCACCGGTGGGAGTCGGGGCTTGTTGTAAAAGGCGGACGCCACTGTGCCGGGCTGCAACGCAATGTCTTGGACGACAGAGACGCGCTCTTGCTCCACAGTAGCAGAGTGAGCACGAATGCCTACATGCCTCACTCGGTCTCTTGAGGGCTCGTCGTCTCAACGGCCAGTCTGTTGTGAGCGACGGCGCGCCCGGCAGCTCGCGTCGGGCGGCATGTGTGCCGGGTGCTCTCTCATCAGCGTTGGACTCGGGCGGTCCGTGTGTGTTTTTAGTTCAATACTGGAGAGCCAACGGCCAGATTACAGGGACTGCAGTACGGATAGTAATGTAGTAGTTATCTCGAGGTCATGAGGGGGTTGGTTGTGTCGACAGCGCCATACATACAGTACGTGTTGGCTACCATGGCTTTTTTACTTTGCTAGTCGGCCAAGGTCCAAAGCCCAAGGATATGAGCCGAGCCTTCCAGATGGTTTCCTCGCCTCTCGGACGATATGTTAGCTCTGGACATGCCGGACACTTACCGTGCACCAAGGGTGGTCAAGCCACCCGGGGGGGAGATGGTCCATGGCGGGGGATGAAACCGATGCTCGCTCACAGCTTGGCAGAGCCTCGTGATTCGTTTGGTCGAAGGCTCGGACGAGGTTTGTCTTCGTCGGTGGTACGGGCGGATCCAAGACTATTGTCGCACACCTGCAGTATCTACCAAGTATGTATCTCGCCTGGACCAAGGCTGCTCTGTGCCTCTCGTCTGCATTGCATTCGTACATTGAAGAACCGGGGGGGGCCTGATTGCGGGCGTACCATTTGGAGGGAACAAGGGAGGGACGGGAGCATCGATGAGCTGGCGTCAACACGTCTTGGAAGCCGAGAGCAAAAAGGAACAAAGAAGTCTAGAACCGTTTCAGCAAAAAGGATGAGCAACATGAGACGAGACGAGAAGAAAGGCATTGAAAGACGTGGGATGGGGGGGCGTGTGTTCCAAGATAGACACAGAAGGGGGGCGTGCGCGCGACAGACGGAGGGCTGGCCGCTCCCTCGGGTCGCCGTGCGGGAAAGGAAGCGCGTTGCTGGGCGTTTCGAGGCCGTCAACTGCCATCCAATCGCGCCCAGGAAGAATCGGACAGGCCCACGCGCCCTCCCCTCGACGCTGGGAAGCGAGCAAAGATGGAGAGAGGGGCGTTTTGTTGGAGACGGCACCTTCATGGACATGCGCGAAACGGGCGCGAACCCTTGATCCCGTCTTTGGCTGACGCGATGCTTGCAGAGTCGCGATGCGTGCTCGTCGAAGCTTTACAGCTCTTCATTTCCGAGGCTCTGTGCATGGACCAACGGTGCGAGAGGGGGGAGAGTCCAAGCTCCACGACTCCCCGGGCCAGAAAAGGCACGTTTCGAGATTGCCGGTTCGCCAGCCTTGATGGCAGAGATGACAGCTCGGCTGCATTTACGAAGTGCAGTGTGTATGTACTGTACGTACTCCGTACAGTAATTTACATCGTGTCTATGGTAGGGAAGGGGTTTCGAGCAGAGTACTATCCGTACTTCGTATTGTAAGACTTTTTTGCATTTTCAAGAGAAAACGGCTGGACTTTTCGCACATCCGGCTCGTGCCGTGTACAGTAGCCGGTCGATGAGAGAAGGATCGGCCGTACAGTCGTACTTGTACTCGACGAGCTGTCGAATGGTCTTTCCGGGGTTGCATGCAAGAGATGTCGAGTAGAGCATTGGGGGTGCTCGGTGAAGATGCACTGTCCCATACACGCATACCCCACGGAGGTAAGTCGCATGCGGGAAAGAAAAGCTCCGGGGTCAGGAGACGCGACAATCGATTGTCGTCGATGCATTCCCAACTCGCCTGGTCCTCCGCATGTCGCGGATCGGCACGAGCACTGGAGCCACACGACGGCATCCAATCCAAGCCAAGACGTTCCTCTCCCTTGCCGCCTTTGGCCGTGCATCGAGTCTCGGGCGGCAGAGCATGCAAGTGCCGTCTCTCGTCAGACAGCATCTGTACAGATGCAGAGAGCATCTTCTCATGCCGTGGCACTCGACGACGAGGCCGCCGACGACGACGACGACGAAAACTCCGAGGAGGACAGTCGCCGCTTGGCCTCGGCAGGGGTCTGGGGGTTGGCAACGCCAGAAGACAAGAGAAGAGGCTGTTGGTTGGTTCGCAGCAAGTAATCAAAACGGCGCAGTCCTTTCATCAGCCACATCCATTGCGCAAGCAAGAAAAAAATGCACGTCTCACCCATCACGGCAAGATGCCAGGGCAGAATACCTAGGTGGCCGGCTGAGGCTGCTCGAGCAATCCGGACCTTGGGCCGCGCGTGGGGAATGAAATAACGGACGTAAACAAGCAAAAAGTCGAGCAGTCCGACGACGGTATTCCGGAAGACAGCCGAGCCTCGTTGGAGGTGAGCACAGCCGTGTCAGATATTGCAGTCGGAAACGCCACCATTGACGAGGAAAAAGGACTGTTTCTTCGGGTCAGCCCAGGTTCTCTCTCTTCTCTTCGCACAGTAATGCACTGTACTGCATCCTTCCAGGCTAGGCAGGTGGTCTTTTCCAACCAGGGAAAGATGAGGCAGGGGCACCCTGGCCGGACCTGTTCCAACATTCCCACATTCCCACCCCGCCCCGCACTCGATTGAGATGAACGGCGGGTTTCAGGGTCGAGCGGCCCCGTAGGCCGTCTATCTTATTTGACGGGGCGGCCCAATCGCCGTTGGCGGCTGGAAGGCGTCCGTTTTGGGCTCACTGAGGATCTACAGTAATACAACACACACCCGCCACGGATGTTTGTGCCGTCAAGGAGAATCGGCTTCTTTTTCTCTCTGCCCTTTTGCCCTTTCCGCCCAGATGGTAACTTGAATATTCCGTTTCCACAGCCCAGGGTGCCATGGGCCGGACCGTTGCACAGGTGCAGGCTTGCAAACCAGCCCAAAGACAACCCCGTGTCTGTTGGCTTGACGAGTGCGAGACTGCGGCTGGTCTGTTGGCTGGCTGTTTGCCATGCTGCCCCGGCTTCGTGTCGACTAGCCACCCACGTCGGTTGGCAGATGACAGACATCGGGTCTGCAGTCTTGTTGTGGCTGCAACGCACGAGGGTTTGATGCTGTTTGCCCCCTTTTCTGTCCATCGGGCGCTTGTGGCCGATGCAGCGCGTCTAGCGGCCGAGGACAAGGGCGTGTTGCAGCCAAAGTAGCGATCGGCATTGGGCACAGATGATGACTCTTGCGCCTTGCACAAGAAGGAAGGAAAAGAAAAAGCGTGGGCGATTAGTACGAACAGAGTGCAACCAGCTTGGATTGTTTTTTTGGGCGCAGCCGATGACGTCGTTGGGACACGTTGCCCACTTTGACTCTTCAGAGCGAGCCCAGCGACGCTCTGCACGGAGTCAAGGTTGCTGAAATTCCCCCCCTCCCAAGGGAAATCAATGTCTGGAAGGCATTTGCCTTACTTGCCTAGCCCCGTCTCTGGTCTGAGATCTCTTGAATAGTCCGGTCCACCAAAGCCGACATATAGGGCAGCAGCTAGTTGTCCAAGAGGGACATGTCGTGGCCCGGCAACACAATGCGCAAACGGCCATCTCAAACAAATCCCGGCTCAAAAGGGGGCGAGCGCTTTTCGGGGCAGGAGATTGCAGTGACGAGATAAATAACGCCTTTTATTACGGCCCCTCGAGGTTGCTGCAGCTGCGCTGTCATCGATGCAGCCAGCCTCTGTTTGAGGCTCGTGGGGCCGCCTTTTCGTCCCGTCTGCCAACGTACTGTACAGTACAGCACCCTGGCAAAAGGGCCGGTCCAACTGGCAGAGCATGCACCGCGGCATGGACAGGAAGCTTTGCACACGCGACGTGGCATTTTACTGTGTGCACGCCCCCGGTCGGCTCTCTCTCTGCGTCAAGATGGCAGCCGTGCACTTGAATATCCCACTGACCTTCAGCACGTCTCTGGCAGCCATGGTCTGTGTGACGAGGCTTTGAAAAAAATGGTGAGTGACGAGCGGCACGGCGAGCCTGCAAGCGCCAGGGGTAACATCAGCCCGCCTGGCACGCCCCTGGCGCTAATGCACGCTGCAACGGCAAGGTACCGTGCCGCACAGCACAGTACAGTGACAAGCGCTTCCGTGCGCACATGCCGTGCAGAGGCGCCTGGACCTGCACTGGCTCTTGCACTGGCTCTTCACCTCTCCAGCACACCCAAGGACGGGTGAAACGGGGAGAGAAAGGGAGGGAGGGGGCGTGGGCCGTCGAGCTTGGCAGGCGCGAACCGACGCTGCATCGGAACTAAAATCAAAGGAAAGAAGGGGAAAAAAGAAGCTCCTGCTTGGGTGGGTCCGCGGTACGTACTCCGTACCCGGCTCCGTACCTGGTTCGGGTGCGGTCCACCGTCCAAGGATCTCCCCCAGGGATCTCCCCCCCCCCCCTGCTCTGCTTCTCCTTGGCTCGCCTCCTCTACGCCTTGTCCTCACTTCTTCCACGCCTCCATTGTGTTGCCCCCACCAATTCACTCGCGCGGCGCATGTTCGCAGTCCATTCCTTTTTATAACCCATCTTCTTCGTCCTTCCCTTCTCCTCCCTTTCCTTCCTCTCGTCAGCTTCATTTCACCTTCAGCTCTTCCTTCCTTTTCAACGGGTCACCAAGCCCTCTTTGCCCAGGCCGGCCTTTGCGACCACGTTGTCCATTCTCTCTCTCTCACCTTTGACGCTCTTTGCACCTGTTCACCCTTCGTCCCTCGCTTTGTCGGCTTGTTCTCGTGTTAGGCCCTCGCATCCCTTCACGATCCTGCCGGCTCAGACCCTCTCTCTGCCATCAACTCGGCCTCATCGACAGACAGACATCTCCATCTCAATCGCGTCAGCTGGTCCTGAGGCACTCTCTCGAGCCGCATCGTCACCGTCTATTCTCTCTACTTTGTGAAGCACCTGTCTTCGAGGTACGTTTTGCACTTGTCTTGCCCTGTCACGTTTGCTCCGTCACGGCACAATCAACGCCATGTTTCTTCCCGCCTGCTTGACGGACCATTCCAGCTCGTGTCGGAGATATTTTAGGCTTCTTGTCCGTTGCTTGGCCGTCTCCACGATGCCTATTATTTCCCCGACGCTCAGGCAACCCCGTCTCAAACCCATCCATTCCAGCCCCAACCGCCTGCTCGGGTCCCTCACAGCCCACCTCCCCCATTCCACGCCGGAATGCTTCGTGTAGCAACCACAGACACATCAAGCATCCGACGTCCTGTTCAAGAGCCAACATGTGGCTCAGCATGCGCAGCAAGTCGAAGCTAACTTGGCTCCAGACGAGCATTTATAGACCCGACTCCGCAAGGAAATCCAGACAGACTACCAACCATGAAGTCGTCCATGTTCCTTGTGGCCACCAGCGCCCTGCTGGCTTCGGCCAGTCCCATCCGCGACGCCGAGAAGCGTGCCCCCGTCAAGACGGTCACCGAGTGGGTCTACGCCACTGAGATCAGCACCGCCGTTGTCACCCTCGCCCCCGGCCAGGAGCCGCCCGCCGAAGACGCCAAGTTCAACGAGGTCAAGAAGCCTCTCCGGTTCAACGACGTCGAGGACTCGCCCGAGGCGGCCCCCACCAACATCTTCGACCTGCCGCCCCCGGATGTTGTTGTCGACCCTCCTCGTCAACCTCGTCCCGCCCATGTCCCCTCCGAGTACGAGCCCAACAACAGGCCGAGGCCCACCGCGGCCCCGCGCCCTGCCCGTCCCGATCGCAAGGAGCCTGAGCCCACGTACGCTCCCCGCAAGCCCAAGGAGTCTGAGCCCTCCGCCGGCGGCAACCTCGACGAATACGCCAAGTCCATGCTCGACAAGCACAACGAGGCCCGCCGTGAGCACAGAGTTCCCGCCTTCAAGTGGAACGACGAACTGGCCCAGGCGGCCAAGAGCTCGGCCGAGAACTGTATCGACAACCATGACAAGTAAGTCTCAAGCAGGTGTCCCGGGTGCGCTCCAACAGCAGCTAACCGACTCGCAGCCATGGCAAGGGCTTTGGTCAGAACCTGGCCTGGCTGTGGACCTCTGATCAGGGCGACAGCGCCACAAAGGTCGCTCTTGGCGGTGTCAAGAGCTGGTACGATGAGAAGAAGAACTTTGGCAACCTCTACGGAGTGCCGGACCCCACCTCGGGCAACTTCAATGCCATCGGCCACTACACCCAGATGGTCTGGAAGGCGACTGACGAGGTTGGCTGCGCGACTCACCGTTGCTCCAACTCCAAGGTCGACTGGGTCACTGTCTGCAACTACAAGAAGCCAGGTGAGGCGAACTCATTCTATACATGCAATTGCGCAATTCCTTCGGCCGCTAACATGACTGACTCTAGGCAACGTCCCGGGCCAGTTTGGCGAAATGGTTCCTCAGCCCTCGTGATTCCCATCGTGGATGACGCGATGTGATGACTGCAGACCATCTGCGGGCATGGAGCGGCCATGTTCGTTATGCTAGATAGCGAGGATTTGCACAGGGACTCTGACTTTTTATCTTCACTTCTCTTCTGTACGTTATGCCAGATGGTACTTAACGACTTTGCCAACGACTTTTTTCTTCTCTTGCGTCATGCGCCTTTGTCCACCAGAACTTTATCTGGCTCGCCCGGGGGTCGCGGTCCGCGCTATGTATATAAATGAAAGAGATATCAATCAACAGGACGTGTGATTGATATGAGAGGCCGACCCGACCAAGGAGGGCAAAGATGCGTACGAGACTGGAATGTGAAAATTGTCCTTTATTGCATTTATTGTACGGACATGCCTGCCAGTGGGCTAGATCCCACGACGACTTGATGTGGCCAGAGTGCACAGTAGACGAAGAATTTGGAACAAGACAGGGGTGCCATTGTGCCCATGAGGCAGCCAGATTGTAGTTCCGACTGCCCAAAGTGGTTTCATTGTCAGCGCCTCTGCGGGAAAAGTGTCAGCCGAGCAACAGCTTCACACGAGGGATACGGCTGATGCACTGCATATGCTGGCTGCCTGTTGACGGATAACTAGCACAGCACGTAAAAGAGCTGGCGGCTGAGACTGCGACGGACGAGGGAGCCAGGGCAGGGCGTGAAGGAGACTTCAACACGTCTGAGGGGGTAGAGAGAGGGTGGTTCAGGGGAAAACACGCCCTTCGGACAATGGCCTCATTCATGCCCGCCAGGGCTTGGTGGCTATTTGCGTATTTTTGTTCACGGGTGTTGGGTTCTCGACCAGAAGTCGGACGCGGCTGGCTTCTGGTCTACTTGAATCAAGCCCGGCCAGGAGTCGACGAGGGACCATGACGACAAAAGTCACAGCAAGAATCAAGCTCCTCCCCCGGAGATCAAGGACGACGGTCTCTGTAGGAAACCCGTAGCCAGGCAGGGCCGGCTCAGCCCTTTGGTGGAGCGAGGCACTGTCGCAGCTGGCGAGGGGAGCATGTGATGGGAATGGGCCAGGGGTCTGCGTCTGAGGTTTGTCGTCACAAGTCGAGAGAGCCCTTGGATCGCAAGAGAGAGAGAATGCTATGTTTCTTGCTTGGTCCAGTGCATCCATGACTCTTGGTCGCTGGATTCTCGAGCGACTTGATTGGCAGAGGGCTACGAGCTGTCGCATGTATAGGGGAGGCAGTCAAGTTCGATCGCAAATCAATTCCAAAACCAATATGTATGCGGCATTATTCCCTCGAGGCAACCATCAGGCAGCATTGTACAATAGCACACAAACATTTGCAGCTGTCCCATCCCTAACCGCCTGAAGCAGCATCCATCCATCGTCTCCCGCCGACTTTGTACTCATCCCGGCCCCAGCCCGACCCTCAACCCTCGTATAACCTGCTTACAGGACAGCCAGGATACCCAGGGCGAGAAGCGCCATGACGGGCTTGATGTGCTCGCCGCCAGCAACGACCACCTCGGGCAGGTTGCCGGTGCCAGTGGTGCCGTTGTTGCCGGGGTAGTCGCCGCCGGGGCCCTTGTTCGGGGGCTGGCCATCCTTGGAACACGACTTCGGGGTGTTGAGGGAGCCGTCAGGGCCGAAGGGGCTGTAGCCCAGGCAGCTCGAGTACTCCGACGCGCAAGTCGGGCGGTGCGCGTCGGGCTTGCTGCGGCACGCGTTGTATTTCTCAGTGCAGACCTTTGCGCAATGCTCGCCATTCTCGCCTTCACCCGGGGCTCCAGGGCCCTTGGGGCCGCCGTGGCAAGGAGAATCGGGGCCGCCAGTGCAAGGAGCGCCGGGACCGCCAGGGTAGCCGGGACCGCCGGGACCGCCAGGGTAGCCGGGACCGCCGGGGCCACCCGGGTGACCTGGATAGCCAGGGCCGCCTGGGCCTCCATGGCACGGAGAATCAGGGCCGCCAGTGCAAGGAGCGCCGGGGCCGCCCGGGTGCTCAGGGTGCTCGGGGTGCTCAGGGTGCTCGGGGTGCTCGGGGTGCTCAGGGTGCTCAGGGTGCTCAGGGTGCTCGGGGTGGCCAGGGTGCTCAGGGTGGCCCGGGTGATCAGGATGTTCGGGGTGCTCAGGGTGCTCAGGGTGCTCAGGTCCGCCGTGGCAAGGAGAATCAGGGCCGCCCGTGCAATGATCGCCAGGGCCGCCCGGGTGGCCGGGGTAGCCAGGACCGCCAGGGTGGCCCGGGTGGTCACGGCCGCCGTGGCAAGGAGAGTCGGGGCCGCCCGTGCAATGATCGCCAGGGTGGCCCGGGTAGCCAGGGTAGCCAGGGTGGCCCGGGTGGCCCGGGTGGCCCGGGTGGTCAGGTCCTCCGTGGCAAGGAGAATCGGGGCCGCCAGTGCAATGATCGCCAGGGCCGCCCGGGTGGCCGGGGTAGCCCGGACCACCAGGGTGGCCCGGATGGCCCGGGTAGTCAGGGCCGCCGTGGCAAGGAGAATCGGGGCCGCCCGTGCAATGATCGCGGCCGCCCGGGTGGCCCGGGTAGCCGGGATAGCCGGGACCGCCAGGGTGACCAGGGTGGCCCGGGTGGTCTGGGTGGCCAGGGTGGCCAGGGTGGCCAGGGTGGCCAGGGTGCTCAGGGTGCTCAGGGTGGCCCGGGTAGCCAGGACCGCCAGGACCGCCATGGCACGGAGAGCCAGGCCCACCAGTGCAGTGGACACCCGGAGCATCATCGCCGGGGAAGCGGATAAAGCCGCCAGGGTACCCGGGAGCGCCGCCGCCGGGGAACTTGTCACCCGGGCCGTGGTGGCCCGGGCGGCCGACGGTGCAGGAAGTCGGGACGGAGAAGGAACCGTCGGGGCCGAACGGGTTGTGGCCCAGGCAACCCTTGTAGTCCGAGTCGCAGCTGGGGCGGTGGGCATCGGGCTTGCCGCGGCAGGCATTGAACTTGGCGTAGCAGACCTTGGCACACTCGTGGCCGTCATTGCCGTGGACTTCGACGACGCGAACCACACCGCCAGGGCCCTCGGCATGTCCGTCGTCATCGGCACAGGTCTTGGGGAGGATGTGGGCGCCATCCGGTCCGAATGGGCTGTAGCCGATGCATTTGGTGTACTTGGTGGCACACGTCGGCTTGTGGGCATCTGGCTTGCTGCCGCAGGCAGTCCACTCCTCGGTGCAGGCCTTGGCGCACGCACACTGCTCGACTACAACCTCCTCTTTCTTGCTCTCATGGCCGTGCTTGGGCGGGTGAGTCGGCTCCTTGTCGCCCTTGCGGCAGGCGGTCGGGGCCTCGTAGGGCTGCTTCTCGTACGGGTTGTAGCCCAGGCACCCAGCGTACTCGGAGGCGCAGGTCGGGCGGTGGGCGTCCGGCTTGCCGAGGCAGTCGTCATGGGCGGAGTTGCAGCCCTTGACACAGTCGTCGATGACGACGACGGGGCCGGCAAGGGCAAGGCTGACGAGAGCGGCGGCGGTGTAAGCGTACTTCATTTTGACGGAGTTTGCTGGTTAAGGAGGGACAGGCAAATGTTTCCGTTATTGGTCCTTTGCGGGCGTGCGAAAACGAATGTGGATAACAGTTGGATTGATGAGCGAAAGACTGCTGCCGAAAGAGTGAGGCAGATAAAGCAATGGGCGAAGCTGTGATATTGACACGAGGGATGAAGAGGAAAGAAAGCCAAGCTCACGGGGAGGAAGCTCAGAGTTATATAGCCAGTCGAGTCGAGCCCGTAACACCCTCGATCATCGAGTCCCACAGCCAGCTCTGCGCGCCGTGACACAGGCACGAGGGAAGCTCGTAGCTACCGAAGCCGTAATCTAGCGGCCGAAAAGACAATGTCTCGCTGGATCAAGAGATCAGCACCACGTCTCGCATCCCAGAGCTGGCAGTTTGCCAGCGCCGAGTGGGACCAGTGATTCGTCTTTGGTCCGCCAGAAACATTCCCGGCAGCAAAGGATGCCAGAAAGCGTATGCTCCGCTATCAATAACAGTCATTTCTCTGCTTCATTAGTGAGCGGGCTGGCATACGTGCTCTCACCCGTGTGCTTGATTACCTGGCCGGGTATGTAGTCGCACAGCAAGCCAAGAGGCCTCGGAGCACAGCATCCTGGAGTTCCAGAATCATACAATTGTATCGACATGTTGTTTATTGTTGCCCATAGCCCTTGGCGCAGGCTAGGGTCTCGGCGCGTTCGCTGGCGTCTCAATCTCTCGAGGGGTCTGAGACTCTCTGCACGGCACGTTAATGAATTCCACGCCGAAATCTGAGTCGCGTTCAATGTTTGCATTCACGTCATTGGGTGCAAGAACGCCTCGAAAACGCACAGCAAAGGGCACTGTCACACGTCTTTGTTTCCTTTGCTGCCGCTCTTGCTCACTGCAGTGCAGGGAACGGACTGCTTCCCAAGCAGCCATGGCTGGATGCGAAGGACCATTACGGGATGAAAGGGGAACAGACGGTCACGTTTCCGCGGGAAGGGGGTTCAACAGACTGTTTGCCCTCGTCAGTGCGCTTGCTCGTGTCTTTCTCCCCCTCCTTTGTCAGTTTGTTGTAGTTCGGCGACGAGTCAGCATCCCGCTCCCGCCGCCGACTCCACCAGACTAGGGATCTGCCGTGGACTCGCCGATCTCCCTCTGGGTTTATTTCTGGGTCTTGGCAGGCACTTGCCCTCGACGCTAGCTTTCCGGGAGAATGGGGCTTGATGCTGGCGGCTCTCATCTCCAATCAATCACCTTGGCGGTTGATTGGATCGTGCCTGGACTTTGTTTGGATCGGAGCAAGGAGAGAGTACGGCGCCAGCTGCAGGGGTCAGGACTTTGGGTGTTGGCGTGACGTTGATTAAAAAAGCAAATATCTCCCCCGACTAGTACGTATTAGCACTCAACGAGGCCTCTCCTGGAAATCGGCAAGGGCCCTGTTCCCGGCTCCCGGTTCGTCAGGCTTATGCGGCTGTGAGAGATCCCAAGCTAGGTCGTACTACCATGGCGTATAACTGCTGGAGCCAAATAGCTGGCTGTAGACGATGGATGCAGAGACGGCTCGTACCGGATTGCCCCGGCGGCTAACGATCAGACCACAAGGGCGCCAGATGGCTGTCTCTGAGAGCACACGGCACGTCGTGCGCTAGGCGGCCGCTGAGCGAGGGCGGACAAGCAGAACTGTTTCCTAGAGAAGGGCACGCGCTGGGGAGCGAGGCGGCGGAAGAAACATGCCGGGCTTGGCGGCCACTCGGCCCGTCCAGTCGACCAAAATTCTTGCCCTTGCTGAGCGATTGCTGCTTTCCACGTGCGGCAAGCCGAGTCGCCGCGCCGGAACTGGTCCATGTCAATACAGGAAGGACAAAGGGCGTTACGGCATTCTGGGGAGCACGAGCTTCCCTACACCGGGTCAAGGCTGATGTCCCGAGGCCTGTCGATGCCGACCGACACGGCGTCGTCTCCGAAAGGGAGGGGCCAAGGGATGCAAGGTCCCGGGGCAGTCGGCGGGCGGATCTCCCTGTTGAGCGCACGTCCGAGCCTGATGCGGCCGATGATCGGAGGCGATTGCCTCCCCGCGTCCCGCCGAAGCTCCCGACACTGCATCTCCGGATCCCTGTTCCCCTCACATGCCGGGGACCAGCAATGAGTGGAGGAGAGCGATGAACCGCACAGGCAGCCGTCAGGCGAGTGGGCAAGTCTGGCAATCGAGCGGCGGGGAAGACCCGGTTTCTTTGGGCGTGGTGTGGCTCGAGCGGGATGCTTCTTGTGGGAGACTGGGGTGAGGGCATCAGGAGACGGGGGGAGCCAATAGAGGCGCGGACCCCCGCGCCTTTAAAGTCGGCGCGGACGTCCGCGCCTGTTATGTAAGCCTGGCAGGCCATTTGGGCCGCCGCCAACTGCGCTCGCAGTCGGCCTCACCGATACAGCATGCTTGCTGCATACATATAGCTTCAATTAATTGCAAAGGAGGATATCCCTTAGGGTTCGAACCCATAGCCTTCCCTATTTGGTAGATTGACGTGACGCAAAGGGCGCCGCTGTTGCGTGGCAAGGAGGGTGCGCGGGAAGTTCACCGCCTTAAAATTGGCCAGCTACAGTGCTACACGCCGGTGCATGTCGGTGATCTCACGATCTGCCTCACATTTTCGCATCGCCGGCATCATCACCACTTATATGTGAATAAAATGCCTGCTGTTCCTCTGAGTCTCTCTCGCAGTCAGCCCATATACCTGCAGTACCTCTTTCTCGTGAGAAAGGCTGCACCTGAATTTCCTCGGCCACCCGGGCATCTAATCGCTCTTCTTCTGCCTTATCCCAATCAAGGTATGCCATCATCTCTACCTTGGTCCATTGCCTCGAGCCGCAGCTCCTTGACATTTGCTTCCAGTCGAGGCACCAGTCATATTCAGTCTTGCTGTAGCGCAATGGCAAGCCCATTGCCTTTCGGTATGCCTGGTTGGTCTTGAGACTGCCGCGAGGCTGTGCTCTATACCAAGAGTCTCTTTCCCTGACATACCTCTGATAGATGGCTCGTGGGTCATCATATAATAGATTCTCTGTAGTCTCTGTAGTCTCTGCAATTGCTGTAGAGACTGTAGAGACCGTAGTGACTGCAACTGTCATTTTCTCCATGACTGCTGCAGTCTGCGCAGTCTCTGGAACTGCTACCGTCTGTACAGTCTGTGCAGTCTGTGCAGTCCCTGCAATTGCTGCAGTCTCTGCAGTCTGTGCCGCCCGTGCCTCTGCCCGCTGCAGTATGTCGCTATAGCGTAAAGGACAATTGCGAGATGTCATGATGTGCCCTTGCTGGTGGCATTTGCTGCATGTAGGCGGCGCCTTTGGCCGTAGATCTGACTCTATGGCTTCAAATGCACTTGGCTCGCGCTGTGTGGATGACTGTGATATCCTTGATGCGGCGACAAGTTGGTCTAGTCGCCGACGAGGCTCTATGAGGACCTGACCAATCTCTTTGTTATCCCGTCGAAGGCGCCAATGTGTATGAAAATGTTGTAGCCGGAGGCAGATCTTCCACTATGAGAGACTGTAATGCGTGCGCACAAGGGAGACCGCGAGACTTGGTGAAGCTGCCTGTGCAAGATGGGGTGTTTTTCTCGTTGAGGCGCTTGTGTTGCTTTGCAACCTGTCGCAAGGCTTCGTGTGATACCCAGCCACGTACCGTGCTATATACGGTTCCAGAGAGCTCAATTGGCATCCGTATATGCTGCCTGGCTTGGTTGGCTTGTAGCTCGGCCAGTTGGTTGAGGAGAGCTTGCTTGATTGCCCTCGTTGCCTCGAAGAGGTCTAATGTTGACTTCTTAAGGTGACTCTTCAATAATGCGTGGATGCCTTCCACCCGGGAAGTAGCCACATTGCCGAAGTGAGCATATTGATCGACCCAGGCCTTGACGAGCTTTTCCTTATACGGGTCCAACCAGGTTTCCCGTATGTAGCTAACCTCCTTGACGTATCGTGGCACAAAGCGCTTCTCGAGCTCTTCAACTTGTTGATCAAATGTCTCCTCATCTTTCGAGCCCACGATTGAGTGCCAATACCCAAAGAACTCAGCCCACCTCTCATCACTATTAGAGTCCTCATCGTCACGGTCGAAAGCTGGTTTGCAATAGCTAAGCACCGCCTTATTCGCATGCCAGATGCAAAGCAGAGACTTGGACGCAGGAAAGCACCGGAAATTGCGTTTATGCAGGCGAGGCAGCGATCTGTCAGGATAACCGATGGCTGGCGAATGTCATATAACTCGTATATCGATTGGAGTTGGTCCAGTGCCCAGATATAGTCATTTTCGTCTTCACCACTGAGGAAGGCAAAGGCAATACAGAATGACCGCTGACAGGCATCAACGCCGATCATATCGAGCAGTGGCATCTTATATTTGTTCGTCTTGTATGTGCAGTCTAGCAGTAGTAATTCTGGGTATGCGTTGAGGTATCCTAGAGACGCTGGGTGTGCGAATAAGACTGCTGTGACTCGGCCATCATGATCAAGCTGTATGCGGCTCTGGAACCCCTCGTTGTCAAGCTCATTGGCAAGGGCATGCATTGTGCTCTGGCCAGCAAGGAGCTCTCGTCTGCGCTGTGCGATACAGTTATATATGTCTTGCTGTGTCGCTCCTTGGGCAGTCTGAGAGCTCTGGCGCATATATGTCCGGATATCCTTTGGTGCTATGCCAGCGCTTGAGAGGTTCCCAATAGCTGACTGGTCAGTTGAGGAGAGGCACGATGAGCTGGATGTGCTGTAATATGCAGACTGGGCTCATGGTTGTGGACCGACTTCTCCTCGCCTGGGCGATGCCTGACATACCAGTACGACTTATCAAGGCTCTCTTTCGCATTGATGGAAAACTGGCATCCAGTGATACGGGAGCTTGTAGACCGTTGCCGATCAGCTGGCTTCTGGTCCTTGCTTGTATGAGCCCCAAGTCTACCTCCACGATCGCAGGCAAATATGACTGTGCGTCTTCCGGACCGCGGGTCTCTCGTGGACTTGCCTGTGG